TTAGTTAAAAAAGTTTCAAAAATCCAATAGATTTCGTTCCACTTCACAATTGTGTCCCACTTGTTGGTGATTCTTCACATAAAATAAAAAAATTATATCTTTATGTTTGAAGCCTGAAATGTGGCAAAAGGTTGAAAAGTTCAAGGGGGCCGAATACTTTCGCAAGGCACTGTAAAATGGTTGTAATGATATTCTCCCTAACATGAGTTTATTAAAATTGATTTGATATAATTTGGTTAAATCTGGAGAGGAGAAATACCAATTTAGAGCTGGTATATAAATTATCCATTCTAAAAATAAATAGAATAATAAGGTTTTCTAATTTTTGTTTCTGTGTGCTTTACTTTTGTTCCCATTGCGAAGTTGCACAGCACGTGTTTGACTACTGTTACACAAGTTAATGCATTCATTATTGGCACACAGGAAGACAGAAAATGTCAATGCACAGGATTTCAAAACATGTGGATATATCTCCCATACACAGTATTTCCAAGGTTTCTGTTTGTTCCCTGGTTACAACTAGCACACAGAAAAACATCATCTGTCTGTTTGGATGACTAGCTTTAGATGAACTGGTGTTGTGAGACACCATAGTCTATTCATGTTGCCACCGATTGTGAATAAATAATATTGGGGTTTTCCCTTTAGTCATTGAAAGCTCCTTTAATCAGACAATGTACAGTAAATCAGTGATTCCCAGTTCTCTCCTCAGTTCTCATCTTTTCATGTGATCAATTTGTTTCTGTATTCAGTCCTTAGTTGATAAAATACCCAACTTTAAGCATATTATTTCCAACATACAAAACTGCCATCTGTGTCACCTCCAATTATCCTTATTTTGGAAGAAACAGCTGTTTAATAAGTAACCACTTTATGATTAATAGAGGAAGGTGGGAATGACGACATATTAAACTCTTCTACAGTGAGCATTTACTCTTTTTCCCCCAAGATCCAATTAGTAATGTTATATAATTAGGTACTGTATGGACAGCTCTAAACCTTTAGAAAATGGTACACATTTGTTCTGGTTATGAATCCCAATCAATGCTTCAAGACACAGTGTTCCTTCAGGATTGAAGGAATCACTGAAGTAAACCTCTGGTGAATTATTGCTTTATGTGGAAAATAATCCATGCAACTAAGTGACATAAAATGACAGAATAATGTACAGTGAATCACGGAACTCATGTTGTGCAAAGAGAGGAGCAGTGTGGTATCTTGTGAGCATGAGACAATAGTAGCATCATTTGGAATTTCTTGTGTACAGTACCAGTTTTGGTTACCAGGATCAGAAGATTAGAAGATCTTATTTGTTTAAATAAATTTTAAAAATCTTTCACTCACTGCATGTCAACCGAGGCTGTGAGAATTGGACATCCTCAGCGGATGTGCAAAATATCTTTATATTTTTGCCTGAGATCAAAGTAAAATTTAATTAGATGGTTAGCCACATTTACACTGTTACAGAAAACAAGTAGGCGGAAGCCTCTCATTCTGAACAGCGAGAATGTCATACACTCAAGTTATTTTTAAGTATTTTGTTTCAGAACTTCATGCTAAAGTACAGTATGCAAACTGCTATTAACTAATTATTATAATGTTTTATTTATAATTTATTGCACCCATCAAGGAAAAAAAAATCCTGTAACCTCATAGTAGAGAGGAAATTACAGTATCTCATAACATTCTCGCATACTTTATCTTCCCAACATAGCACAATTGTCAGACAATATCTATATTACCATTAGATGACTTTCAGTTTTAAGCAGTGGAATCGATTCCATGACACACTCATTCTTATTTAAGGAAACGTCTGTGTCCTCTTAGTTAAAATTGTGTTCACATTAGGTACAAATTATCACAAACACTAAAGCCTCATTTTCAACTGAGCTATTTGTAGCTTCTAGGTATTGTCATTGCACAATGTACCAGTTTGTTCATACACTCAACTGATCATTGCTAGAATTTTGTCGTTATTACGACATAAAGAAACTCAGGATTTGTTTTCCCTTCATGGCAGCAATACGGATGCGCAAATCATTTTATTTTGTGGTTATTTTGTTTCACTGTTTTCAGAGGCAAGTGCAGAACCAGCTTTAAAAAAACAGTGTTAGCAAAAAAAAAAAACATCTTTAGATTTAGGTATTTTTATCGAAATACACTTAAGGTACCTGTGTAAAATTAAACTGAAGAGAGTGTGGACAACGTTCTGCTTCAAGACCATTTATATATATTAAAGGTTAAAGTGATCCTTAAGTTGCATGGCTTTAGGTATCTAAATTTATATACAGCTTAACAAGACCTTTATTGGTTTGTGGTATCAGGCCAGTCTAGTATCTGAGCTGAATCCTCAGGCCAGGTCAAAATAAAAACCACACAGCCACAGGAAGTCCTGTCCACTGCTTAACATATGCAGGGTTCATGTTCCTCTGCCATTTGTACAAGGCAGCCTCTGCCTAACATGTCTGCTATGCAAAAAATAAATCTTAATAGATTACGTTATGCCGTTTTCTTTTTTTACTTCCCATTTTTTTAGACCGGTATTGTAAATGCTTTCAAAAGGGTCAAACTAGTGAGTAAAGCTGGCTGGTAGTTTTATGTAGAGGCATAAAAGGTGCTCATTATTTATTTGTTTAAAGTTTCATGTTAATGTTTAAAGTTTTAAAGTTGCATCATGTGCTAGTTTATTACATTGTATATCAAAACAAGTGAAAGCTCTGGGACAAATGTCCAAAACCTAACAGACCTCATCAGTCCACATGTGGAAGGTGTGGCATCAAAAAATAATAGAGCTTCAAACTTTCATTATCCCACTGCAACAAAAACATTTCTTTAAGCTGAGCTGAGCTGATTGAAAAGGGCTTTACTGTGAGTGGTGCTCTGGAATTGGAGGTTAATAGCAGACACCAGACATAGTATACTAGCTCTCAACTTAGTCTGGTTTACTGTTGTCTTGTAGGAGTTAATGCAGCTATTGGAAGCTCCAGTTCTGCCTGAACTCCTTAGCTATTCCCGTTACTAAACTAGAAAACTAAGTTTATTTACTTATTTACTGTAAATGTGATCATTAACTGTTGCTGAAGAAAATGGCCTTACCTCAACTTTTCTTGAGCTGTTGTCCATTCTCTGTAGCTCTCCCTCAAACAGGTACTTTATTACCTTGTAGACAAGTTCATACTGTTCCTATGGAGGTAAATCAAATAATATACTGTTGTTAGAGCCACCACTCCAGACTAATGTTTAAAAATATTTTAAGAGAACATTAGCACTTCAAATATGCAATACTTCTTCTGAATTACAATCTGTGTAATACAGTACTTTCTTGGCACTTAACCATGTTAACAGTTTTTACAACACTCCTAACCCTTTCTGATGTTGTTTTTTGGAGGCATAAGAGGTGCATTTTCATAAGTGCAACCATAATCTTAAACTGAAACAAACTAGTTTATACTTTGCGAGTTGCTATGAACATCTATGCATTTGTGTTATGCCTTTTGGAACAGCCTTATCTCTCTTTCCTAGCGTTAATCCTGTATCAGCAGGGTCCGCTTGTTGGCACACCAGTCTCCATTTGGTGGTTTGAACCAAATCTTTAAGCTGACGTTGCCATTAACTGCGACCGAGAAAATACTCCAACAGGTGTGTCGCTCTGCCTGCCGTCGGAGTGGGGGGGGGGGAGGAGAACAAAGTGATGTAGCCAATTCTTTTGGAACAGCCTTATAAAGAGTAATTAATGTTATACATCTTATGGTGCACTTAAGAAGCTGCAGTAGGCTACATAGAGCCTAATTCAAATGAAAAGTGATCCATCAATGTTCCAAAACCAGCCTCTAACTGTAGATTAAATGGACATTAATAACAAAACCATAGTCCTGAACATACTCTGAAACAAACTCTTAACCATTAACTAAGGTAGGGGTAAGTAATATTTTTATAGCCCTTTATACCATTGTTAATAAACTGTTTATGCACAGTTACAGTATAACAGACTTAAAATGATTTGTGACCAGAAAAGCCATGAGCATTATTTAAATTATTAGGTAACAAATACTATATGAGCAGGAACATACTGTACATAATTCAGGTATCATTCAGTCGTAATTTTATTACTAATTGAATGGGAGGCTTTTTTATTGTAGGGACTAAACAATCCACTGTGTCAAAATGTATTGATTATTAATCATTAATCATAATGCATATGAAAATATATGGTACAAATCAGCCTACATTATAGCCAATTCAAATGGCAGAAGGCAAAATTCAGAAGCCAGGGCTGTCTCACAGTGTTTTCCACTTTGCTAAAGTTAAAACACTGTTTTGGGACATGAAAAACAAACTAATAAAGATATAAATTAAAAAAAAATATATAAGGTTATTAGAATTTACAAGAGGATCAATCTTCAAATTATAGTCTGCGCAAGGTCTTCACCTTGGTCTGTACCAGGGACGGCCTCTGGGTCCGCATATCCTGAACCAGGTTGAAGATGCTGAAGTCCTCCTGTAATAACTAAAATACACAAGTCCACAGATGAGTGAAGCATACAGTACAGAGGCCTGGACATCTGCTCCTAGCTCATAGCTGAGCACTTTCCCGAGATCCGACGCAGAATACAAACCCTTTCTGCTTCCACTGTGATGCAAGAGAATGACAAGACAAAAAATGTGAGGGGCCTTTTAGAATGAGCATAACCACCTGTGTGCTGAGGCTTGATTTTAATGTCTGTCCAAAATAGGTCACTTTACTTGTGCTTTGTATTGTGTCCTGTTGTTTAAGAACATTTTAAAAAATGTAATGCCACAGAGGGCAGTTCCTTTCAAATTTAAAGACAAAAGTCAAGGGTGGATTTTTAAGAAATCAGTGTGAAGATCTTGCAATGAGGTTAGGAGATTTTGAATAGGCATCTACAGTAGTTCCTGGTTGCCAACACGTAAACTAATTAACCTTGTTACCTTTGAAAAGAGGAACAAGTACATTTTCTAATTACTGTATCTTTATCAAATAGCAGCTAGTTTTCTTTTTTAAAGGATTGTATGTTAAAAATGTTAAAAAAAAAACAGTTTTAGTGATTCAGTTCAGTGAAACTAACTTATGAAACTTTAATTGCATAATCATTTGATCCATTTCAGGGTTTAACTTCACACATCTGTCTGTACGAGCATAACCCTGTAACATAAGAATGCAAAAAAGGCAGCAAACTTTAAGAGTTGTTTGATAGAGTCTCTGCAGTGGGGATCTCTTGGTTTGAAATAATTGATCAATTAATTACGCAATAACGTTATTCATTTATCAATGGGCCAACCCATATTTGCAAAATCAGGAGTCATAAGATGGTAAGGCAGGCATCAGGCTTGTCTCTCTTGCCATTGCCCCAGGTTTCCTTACCCCTTTCTTCAGCAGGTTCCAGGTGTAGTCAATGACACACAGGGCCCCTGTCCTTCCACATCCTGCACTGCAAACATATAACAGCACCTTTAGCACAACACAAGACAAACTGTCCCTGCACCACACAAATCATACAGTACATGTGCTGCTAAGAACCATGGCAAACTGCACAAAAGGTTGCATTTCACCATTAAATGTCCACCCTGCTTTGCAGTGACAGTGAGAGGCCTATGAAGTAGGGGGAGCATTTTTACTTTTTTGTCCTGCTCATATTAAGCAGTAGAAGTGTGAATGTGCCTTTAACCACATAATGCTATTTATCATTATAATACATAGCGCCTAGTCTAACAACAAAATAAGTGTGTACTGTCAGATTATTATAGAACCCAATATGTGTGCTTAAAACATCACACACAAAGCAATGAACACTGTCCAAAAACACCAACAACATGCCAGAAACAGACCAGTGCACGCTGGTTTTGAAGCACTTCAGTATGAATGTATTGTAGATGGGTTATTAGGAAGTTAAGATCTGAGATCTTTCATTTACCATTGTAATTAAGCTTCCAGTTAAAAATAAAAATGCAGAACAAAAAAAGCAGTACCCAAAAACAATATATAGGTACACTGTAAAGCCAGTGGGAACAGCAAAGAAACAAAAGAAATGTCCTCTTCCTGTTGCTTGTTGTTGGCTGTCACTGGCAAACGCCAAGTCTCAAATTATGTTTCGGGTTTTCCCTGAAACCCTATATGCCCAGCTGTGGAAAATGTGGTGAGAATCTTTTCACAACTTGGAACTAAACCTGGACTAAAAAACACCTTGCTGCTTTTTAACAACCATCTATCATGAATATTTAAAAGAGCTTCCAGAGAATAATCCTGATCTTTGATCTTGATCTGAAAGAATACTGTGTATTAATGAAAAAAGAAAGATGAGATATGACCACTGTTTGTTTCAAGTGTGGGAGTCGAGAATAGCTGAGATTAACCCTGAGTTAGGGTTGTGTTACCTTTCCACCAAATTTAAACTTTTGTTGATGGCACACTTGTGTTTTAGGTCACTGAAATGTAGGAAAGCTGATATTTTGCTTGTAATGTGACATTTGTTTTCACTTTTGTTTTCAGATGGAAAATGCCATTTACGTTGTAGTACTATTCATATGAAATGCAGTACATTCTGAACTTAAATCAGAAGTCAGAAAAGAACATTCTTTTTGGAATTTAAAGCCCAACCATAATGATAAGTGAACCCGAAACTTTCTGACCCTTATTAATTATTCTGTCCCTATCCCTAGCACGCTCATTTAGAAGACTATTTTGACATACAGTATTTTTTCTAATAATTGAAAACCCGTCAGAATTAGACTATAATCTCAGATAGATTTAATGTTCATTTAAACGTATTTAATCCTAACAGGAGATACCCAGATGTGTAAGCATGCTGTAGATTTTTGTATTTACTCTTGCTGATCCAGGGACTTTGTAAACGTTAAGGTTTGCACAGCATAATAAACTGTGAAAACCTTCCTAATACAGTATACTGTATCTAGTGTGTCAGGGAACAAAAAAAAATAGATTTATAATCTTTTTGTCTTATCTTGAATACTAAATGAAATGTGCAAAGAGGTACTGTACTGTCAGGAAATGCATCAAGTTAATTCGAAAGGGTGAAAGTAGAGAGAATGAACCTGAGTCTTAAAGTTAGTTCGGTTTTACATACAGTATCGCTATAATGAAAGAACAAGAACGTGACCAGCTTCAAAAGAAACGTGATTGTCCATTATTTTAGTGGTATATGTTTATCTTCTAAAGATTGACATTTCTTTAGAATTTAAAAAAAAATCAGAAGCAGTGCAATGCATGTAGAGAAGCTACATTGAAAACAGATTTCAGAAAGTGTTATTGCTTTCATTAAAACTGGTGGTCATCAAGCCACTTCCTGTGACTGTTTTCAGGGAGGTGGCTTGAAGAGTAAAGACACAAAACAGGATGCCCCATAATGCATAGGGTGAGGAGGTCAAGCATTTCTCAGTTTTTCTGAAAGGCCTTTATAGCAACAACCACAGAATTGTGCTTATGGTACATACATTTAGTAGGGTCTTCCTCTAACCTAATGCTAATGCAATGTAAAAATTATTTTCATGCAATAGGTAGAAAGTGTAGAAAAACTCCAACATGTTTGAAATTGATCTTCTAATCTACTAATTTAATATATCTTACTGATACTCAGGAAGAAATATTGCGGTTAAGGATGGTGAGTTAGTGTAAGTACCTGTCTTTCCTGCTTCCTCCGCTGTCCTAGTTTGTGTTTGCTTTAATGCAGACTCACCTGCAGTGCACACAGATGGGGACATCATCATGATCCTGATAGGAACGCATTTCCCACAACATCTCCAGAATGGGTGGAATGGAGGTGGGCACTCCGTGGTCTGGCCAGTTAACGTAGTGAAGCTGTTGGATTGTGTGACACTCCTATGGATTGGTGAGGGACACTCAGTCACATACAGTATGTGAAAGTATATTTGATCAAGCTCAAAGACCATGGTTGCCCTTCAAGCAGCATGGGGGTGTTACAGTGGTGTCCTGGCTACCTCCCACCTTGAGCTTCCCTAAATATGTCCCTTAATAGCCAGCAGCCATATCAACCTGCAACTCACAACTGGCAACCCACTGAAGCTAAACAGATGTGAACCTGGCCAGTACCTGGATGGGAGACCTCCTGGGAAGAGCTAAGGTTGCTGCTGGAAGAGGTGTTAGTGGTGCCAGCAGGGGGGTGGTTACCCTGTGGTATGTTTGGGTCCTAATGCCACAGTTTAGAGATGGGGACACTATACTTTAAAAAGGTGCCATCCTTTGAATGAGACGTAAAACCAAGGTCCTGCCTCTCTGCGGTCATTAAAAATCCCAGGCAGGGGTGTAACCCTGGCTTCCTGGCCAAATTTCCTATTGGATTACTGTACTTCATACTCACATTGAAGAAGGTAACATTTAAAACTCTTGTTATGTAGTCCCCCTTGTTGTCTTCCGATACCTTAAACAGATGGAAAAATAAAATATGAGGAAGAGAGATAATGATGTGTTCTGTTCATGTGCTGAGCATTATCTGATGTCATTGATTAAATAATCTTCCAGTTCAATTGTTGGCAGCAATAAACTGATATTGTGTCTTTATCACCTTTGTTACCAATTGTGGTTACAATTTCCTCTTTTACTACCTTTTTGTTACCATTGTGAATTTGGCAAACACTTTTACAGTGATTTGCCTTAACTTTATGTTATGACTTCCTATGGCTCTAATATGCCTTTTCAGTTTTCTGCACTGAAGCACCTGATAGTTTCAAGGTACCGTATGTTTACTGCAGTGCACCATGATTTATGCATAGTCCAGTGCAGCAAAGCAGAGTGAAGGCATATTAAAACTACAGGAAACCACAACTAAAATGATGGTAACAGTGCAAAACTATTTTGATTTTCATAAAGCAAAATTTATAAGACTACACTTTGTACTGTATGTTCTGTCATCACAAAGGTATTTTACCATTTTACAGACTTCTTGGCAGGAGAACCAAAGTTTTAGAGGAGTAAAACTAAAACTGCAGGCAGGAAAAAAAACTGAACTAAAAGTGTCCTTTAAGCCAATATAGGCAGCTCCACAGAGAGCTGAGAGTTACTCTAGAACATTCTTGGCACACATCCAGCTTTCACACTAGTGTATCTTGGTCAGCACATTCAGAGTTCTCAGAGCTTCCACATTATTTTCATATAAAAAATATGATTCATATAAAACGTATTTCTGTTTCTTCAGCTATAGACAATCAACCCATCACATTTGCACAATGGTCTGAGCAGCAGTATGCTATTTACATTGTACCTTACTTGTTGCCCTTTGAACAGTATAACGTTTGCCAGAGAACTTACTGAACATTTAATATCTTAGCTATTGTGGGGTTAGATTGGTAACATACTTCGACAGTTTTAAATGACTACAACTGTTACAGCACTTTCTAGGATATTTGAGAGAAAGGGTGATAGTTATTTCTCTGGCTGCAGGGATGAGGACCTCACTGAGCTGGTCAGAGAGAGACGGGGACTCACGCAATCAATTGTGAAGGGCCCACACTCAAATGCTGCCTCGGCAGACTCGGACCAGTAACGCTCGCACTTTTTCTGTAGAAAAGACAGAGTTGGTGAGTCAGCAGAACACCTAGGCCCAGGGATGTAGTGGAGGTGAACTATTAAAATGGGTTAAATATACTGTAGATGAGATTTGTAAAAATGTGATATGAAAATATGAAAGGAAAACTTACCCTTCCCATTTCAAACTCTCTGCAGGCCATGACAATGATCTGAAATTGTTTTTTAAAAAAAAACTTCAGTCCATGATTAACAGATTAAAACGGAACAGTTACTTTATAATTGTGGCTATTTCCTCTCAAGACTTGTGCTTCTTCTTAGTTCTGTAAATTCTATGGATCAAAAATCACAGACAGACCACCTTATACATACTGTACTGAACATACAGTATTAGCATGTACAGCCTTGAGATGATAACCACTCCCCCTTTTTAAAAGACCTCTGCATTGGCTCTGCATGTACCATAGTCCTGCTACTTTTTCACCAGTCATGTTCTGTAACAGCCTGGCTTTCCTTGTGAACATTTTCCACAATATTTTGCACAGAATCTTTGCACTTTTTCTGTGGTTTAACCAGGAATGCATTGAGCTTTTACCTTTGTCCAATAGTGGTTTCCCACAACTCACATACTGTAATTAGCTTAATACAATGTCACTGTGGTCTTTTTCTGCACTTTGTTGTGTTTGTACCATGGTATACTGTAGTAAATTCTAGTAAGCAAAATACTCAAAGGTCCTGACAAAATTACTGTAACTCAATGGACTCAACCCAATAGAATCAAAATTAAAACACAAACCAGAGGACACAAATAGAAATCGAGTGGTAAAGCTTTTAAAACCAAGAATGGGAGGCACTTCTTTACACAAAGGGTTGTATAAATCTGCTGCAGGCTACACAGACATGTTATTGAATACATTACCCTGGCTTCTTTCAAGAAATAGCTGTGTGGAATCTGCAGGTCAGTTATCAACGAGGAAGCAAATGACCCGTTCTCGTTTGTAGCCCTTGTTCATTCTACATTCTTATGAAGGGTAAACAATACTCCAGAAGTGCTAAGCTATACCAGAGCAGGTAGACCCTACCTTAACGTTGTACTGCCACACCATCCTCCAGAAATCCAGCACGGTATGTGGTAGTGGGCCCTGAGTGGCGATGTAGACCTTCTGGCCAGACACTCCCTGGGGACCCATCAAACCACAGTCAGAGCTTGCATAGCTGGACACTTGAAAGGTTCTGGCCAATTTGTCAGACCTGCAGTGCAGGGCTGTGCCATATTATAATTCACAGCCTGGAACCAGAGATAATCCAGCTGTGCCACAATAATAAGCAGACACATACATTCTTAACTGGGAGCTCAGTCTTGTGTGTCATGAAGGGCCTGATGCAGATGGTTATGCAATTATGCTGGTGGTTGTTTTTCACACCCTGGGTGCAGAGGTACAGCATAATCTGTAAAAATATCCACTTCCTGGAAGAATTCCTTTTTAGAAACATATCCATTCACAATTAATGGGGAATATGAAAACATTGTAAATGAATCAGATCACTCTTGTTAGTTTTAATTATAATACAGTAATTCTTCTTTTTTCTTGAAACCCTTGCCCTTGGACATCACATCCGGCCCTACCTTGATGAAGCTGGCGTTGATGTAGTCAGAATCATTATCAGAAGTGATCAGAGACAGCTTCACTCGGCTGTGATCAACTGAGGGAAAAGAGAGGGAAAATGCATCTCGTTTTAGTCCACATGCAAGAAACTGAACCATTTCACCTATCAACTTCTTGTAAACAAACACTTTGTGTTTTACTTTACTGAAATAGCGATCCATCAGTTAGATGAGATAATTTTAAGTAACTCAAGTGATTAATACAATCTTTCCTAGCTCCCTCTTATTCATCACATCCATGTATTATTAAAAAGCCAGTTATTCCTGGTAAGGGTCATGAAAGCCTCAGAAGTACAGGGGTCTGGACAGGATAGTCAGCTGGCCTGACAACAAGTTATTAAAAGGGCAAATTGTCCACACACAAGGAAAATTTGCAGAGATCAATTAAACCAGCCTGAGGGTCTGTGAAAGTTAGGAGGAAACCTACACTGTAGCTAATGCAGCAAAAACATGCAACCAACACAGAGAAGATACTTTAGTGTGGAATTAAACCCAGAATCCAAGAGTTGTGAATCGGCAGTGATAAATGTTTCCATATCAGTCTAATTCAATACAATACAGTATATCAATATTCATAATCTCTGTTCTTTCTGAATGTATCATATCGACAATGGTCCAATGGTGATGGCTGGTTAGTACTTCTTGTATTACTGGTCTCTTAAAGATGGAACTACAAGCCTTTGAAGTGAGGCTCAAAATACAAAAACATACTACGATCACAAAGACGGAAATCTTTGAGGGCGGGATTGTAAATGGTCAGACACATGCAGGAGCTGTTTTGTCTTTTGTACTCACATGGAACAATGTCTTTGTATCTGTTCTTCTTCACGTTTTCCTGTTTCTCTGCTGCCTTTGTGGGATATGTCTTATCAGTGCGGTATTTGGTTGACAGCCTTTTCAGCCTCTGCAGAGAAGAGTGTGCGAAAGTCATTCACTTCAGTTGGCAGAACAGTAGCAGTTAGATTTGCTTCTCGTCACATTGCGTACGCACGTCAACAAAACAAAATGCTAAACACCAACTTCAGCGTTTGCCACATTTTCAATAGTTTTAAACTACTGGTATGATCATATGCCCTTTTGTTGTTCGTTTACAGTGCTTTGCACATACCCATTAACTGCTTGCAAATACAATGGCGCTTTAATCGGTATGGGATCACAGGAGTACTACTGTATATGTACAAAGCTTTGTAATATGTGTTTTAGACATATGAGATTGAGCCACTTCATCAGACCGTGCATGTTACATAAGTCAAAGCCTCTAGACAGTGTTGAACCTGTTCTGTTATGTGCTGAGTTGTGTCTCATTCATAATACTCATTTTTTTATATGGCTGGGCTTTGTGTTTTGGAGCGCTGGGCTACTCAAGCACTGTGGAAATAGTGAGAGTGCTTATCGTGCAGCAGCAATCTTTATAAATAATTTTTAAATGCAAGAGGCTAGATTAAAGATTTGATCATTTTCAACAAATGTGTCCAGCAGTAAAGACTGTTGCTCATTTGAGACACCACTGGTCCAGATCGGTGTAATTTCTTTGGCTCACCTGACATTGATAGCCCAAGTGGCAGTGCAAAGTTATCTTTAATTTGCTGCACAGGTAAATATAATTTGACCTAGACACCTGGGAACTTCCCATGGTGTCAGTTAGAGCTGCATGACTTTTTAAATCAGTGTTTCGTGAGCTGGAGCTCACAGTAAAGCCCTCATCTGTCCTGTACGAAATAAAATCATACTTGCTTAGGTTTGGCTTGTTTTTATGTACTTGATGAGTTGGAAAAACGTATCATACTGAAAGTGTATACAGTACAATGACTTTTACTGGAGTAGGTTGGAAATTACCCATAATGTGGGTGTTTATTTTTTACACAATACTGGTAACCATATTTGAGGCTGAGATTCTGAGACTCTAAGTCTCTGCCAGAAGCGGAACAGATTCTTAGGAAACCACTCATGTACTCTGTATGTAACTAACCTTGAATCTCTACTCGTAACTTTCAGTTTAACTGTGAACTTTAGTTTACTTAAATTGAACAGGAAGCAGTCCAGCTGTGTAATGCTCAGACCCAAATGGCTCCCTTTGCAGGAAGTGAAAGCATGGATCCAGCCAATCAGTTTTGAGTCATGATGAAATTCTGTGACAATCTCCTAACCCAGGCTGTGAGGCTCACAGGATGCTGTATTTGCTACCCTAAGGACCAACAGATAGGCACCCTTTCACTATTGACACAAGCGTTGCACTGTACAGTGCCACCCACTCAACTCTAACACTGAGTAATGTAGACACATGAACAGAAATGACATTTTTTAACCATTTTAGTTAGGTATTTTTAATGTATAGTTAGAAAGACTGAGTCCTGTCTGCTTCTTCAATTTTTTTAGCTTCACAAATCCCCTCCTTGAAGAAGGAGATCCAGCAGATTTTTCACTCTAGCTGGAATCTCTGTTACTTTACCTAACCCTTAATTCAAGTAATGTTCTTAATTACAGCTATGACAGAGCCTTTTTTTGGGAACAAAATTGCCCTTTTATTCTTACAGTTTGATAGATTAATTGAAATTCAGTGTAAGAGCTTAAAACTTCAGATTCAATAATGAAAAGTTTAATACAATTAAAGATTTAATTATTTATCTCTTGGTCCAACATTGGGATCAAAAGAGATTTAAAGCCCTGCTTTAAAGTATCTCTACCTTTAAAAGTTCCTTAATTGGTCCATTAAGGTAATAATTTGCTCATTCTGGTCATGAAAAGTTTCAGTGGAGTGATAATCTGCGGCTGTTGCAGACTGTTGTGAAACCCTGGCATGCTCCAATGTCACACAAATCCAATGTCATACAACCCGAGTCATCTTTGAACCATCTTGAGTGGTTCATAAGGGTCACATCAGGAGAGGAGAAATTACAGCAAAATGTACAGTATTTCAGTCATCATATCATGAAAACATATTTCAGTAGGTGTTCACCCCTCCGCATAATGAATTGTCTGGAGTTCTTCTTGGAGACAAGGGGCGCATTGAGTTTGTGGTCAGGGGGTTTTCTGCGCCTGTGATGGAAATTCTAAGAGGTCGAGCGAGCACTCGTAGCAGAAAGTTTCCACTCCCTCAGCAGCAGAACGGAAATCAGACATGCGGTGACCTAAACCCCTTACTGTTTACCTCACACATACATATTGACGCCTTTGGCCATTTCCCACTAAATTTTCACCTAAACCTTTGCTGACAATTTCATTAGATGCCAAAGCATACACCTAAATCAAGGAGCCGAAAAAAAGGTTAATGGTGGAAAGTAGAAAGAAATGTACCTGAAGATGGTTCAGCAGCCAGAACCTTGCTTTTCATCTATCTGCTGTTCAGCACTGAATTTACTGTACTTGTTCCTTTGCCGCTAATGTACGCTGACACAGCCCCCAGCTCAAACCTTTTCAATTAAAAGTTAATGCTTCTTAATTAGGAATGTCAAACAACCATAAAGAAAGCAAACAAACCTCAAGGATACATTACATATCTGCTTGATATGATTGATTTGCTGTAATTAGACATTAATTAATTATATGAAATGCTTCATTAAGGATAAATGCAGAGTACTGACATAAAAAAATGTCTTTGCATAATTGACGTATTAATGTTTATTTGTTCACGTAGACATGAAGCAGCCACTATGAAAGGTTAAAACTGATAAAAGAATGAGACGATTCAAAGACAGAGCATGTGTTTGTGCAGTTTGGGTGAGTTTCCCTTAGCACTGTCCACCAGCGTGAAGTTCTGCATTTCTTTTAAAAGAACAGTCATGCTACCAGTGATCTTAAAAATAAAGGATGTTTCCTCTTTGCCACAAAGCCAGTGGTGATTTCCCATACTTCTTTGTGCTCTTGTGACTTGGTACTTATGTCAGAAAGTGTCTCTCACAATCTCAAGGCTTGGGGACAGACCCTGTCTGCTTTTATAGTGCATTGTGCTACTTTAGAAAAAGACACATTCTGCTTATGTTTTCTGCTTTCGAGACTGGTGCTCAACAGAGTGAACTGCAACAACAGGGCCTAGATTCAAGCCAAAGTGAGAGCTTTTCATTGGTAGTTCACGCAGTTCCTGCTGATAGAGCTACCAGCTTAATTGTGCATGAGGCAATTTAGGATGGTATTGGGTAGAGTGTGGCAACACTAGTGCTACATTGTATCACATCTTGTTATTCATGTTGACAGGCTCTAAAAACATTCCCACAAGCACTGGTGCAAAAAACAAGAGAAATGTCCCAATCTATTGCGGTGTGTGCATTGTATACTAATTGTATGGTTATGCCAGCCAAACTCTCTGCAGTCTACTAGTTTCTATTTAGAACCCGCACTGAGATACATGAATAAAAAAGAATGAATTGACTTTGAGCCTATAAATTTGAACAGTACAGACAATTAATGTTGCAAAAGTTACAGTGGTACAAGAAATCCTGACATTTTATGTGAAGAAAGAGCATGCACTGTAAAACTGACCAGTCAGACAGACTGTCTGAACCTGGGATCATGCTTTAGGAGTGCCATGATTAATTTGAGAGTCACAATTGCATTTTTAAGCCACGACTGCAACAATGTTTAAAAAATTAAACTGCATCGAAGGCATCACTGAGTGCAAGTCTATCTAAAAATAACCACAAATGAGAGGAAATCATCCAACTCATCAGCTTCTATTTCCTTCTGGTCAATACTGGTTGTACTAGAAACAAAGATCCCCCAAAACAAAATCCTTCCTCGCAGTAACAGTGTGCAATACAGGTCTGTTCCGTGTCACAGCAATCCACAGCCTATCACCATTCAAACCAAAACTGTTTCAGGTATGTACAGTATGTGATAAAAACACATGTTCGCCATTTTGGTTCTTTTAGTGAATATCATTGATAATATCATAAGACCACAGAACCCTGCTGCAAAAGAACCATCAGCACCAGAACAGCACTGTTTAAAGTTGATATTTTAGCATTAAGTCTGTAACAGAGGACGAGAAGGTTAAATGGGTTGTAACGTAGAGCAATAACCAGCAGTTTATTTTTACCATTCAAAGCAATTTGGCTCATCTGCAGCCTCAGAGGTTTCTTGAAAGTAGACCTTTACTCATTAATTCATCATAATGAGAAGAGATGAAGGGTTGTTTAACGAGTTGCGTGCTTACTCAGGCACAGCAGGAATAAAAAGTGTCAGTAAAATGAGTGCAATGGGAATGGAGAGGTACTGGTAAAATGCAGAGATAATGAAATCATAAATAGGAAAAGTGATTATTTAGTCCATTTACATTACTGCCCCCCTCGCACCACCGTTTTTCATGGGTGTCCTAGGGGTAGTAAACATTTCCTTAGTGTGTTATTCCTGCCACGAGGCCTGACTAAAACTGTTCAGTCAAGTGTTATCAATGAGAATAGGCAAACAGAGTGTTACAACATTTAGTTATAAGTGTAAAATTCAAATCAATGGGATGTTGTATTGAAATTGCACACAATTGCACTAGTAATATCTCTGTAGAATTTTGTGTACAATTTTTTAATCATGCTATAAATGCTGCTCTAGGGTAGAGCGACAAGATATATTCCTGGTCTCAAAGGAGAGTACATTGACAGGCTGAAGGAACTGAATCTTTTTAGTCTTGAACAGAGAAGACTATGAGGAACCTGATTTTTAAATAGTCAAAATCAATTAAAGCAACTGTAGCAGTCAACTCAGTGGACTTCACCACTGAAATCTGAACCAACCAATACAAGTGCAAACTATGGCAACTCAGGTCTGTTGTTGAAGCCAATACCCTGCTTTTATTCCAGAAAAGGGTTGATATGATCCCCTGATCAATTAGCCTCTAAATACCAACCTCATAACCTTTCTTACATTTTTACAGTATGTGCTTTAGCTTTAATGGCTTCGTGGGAACAGGCAAGGCTCTTAATAACAGAAGTGTCACATTTAGAGAAGTTCACACTTTAGAAAAACATGTTAAAATACAGAGTACAGAATAAAAATAAAAATAAAAATAAATACAGTATAAAGATCTTTCTGCTTAAGAAAGTTAATATTAGAAGTGTCTAGTTTACTTTAGGTAATGGACGATTCAGAAGCAGTACTGCCTTTAAACATGCAGCACTTAAACAAGAGCTGTGATGAGACCATAACTGTGAGCGGCCTACACTGTTCCATAACAGAGTAAGTAATAACAGAGCTCAGAGTAAGTCTAAAAATCAATGAGAAACTTTTAGTGTTTCTCCAGTGTTTTCATGCTGCTGGTAAATTAGGAAAACACCCACCCTATCAAACACAAACAGACATACAGAAATGGTGTCTTCTTCAAGTTCAAAGTTTATAGGTCGTGTCCACCAGCACAAGGAATTTGGTCCTTTGTCTTACAAAAGGTAGATTTGCAAATTTATGTAGGTGAGAAAAAATACAGTACTCTTTCACATCACCCATGCAGTATTTACAGAGAGAAGTGCCCCAGCAGGGAGAGGAGGCAGACACAGTGCTACATTCTGGCCCAAACGGGACCTCTGGAACAATGTGCTCAGACACCCTGACTGCATTTTAAACTCTCCTATGGATTGTCAGTTTGATTTTAACAGATGAATGTGACCAAAACTTGCAGAAAACAAAAATGCAGATTTGTCTTTTGTTTTTGAGTTCCTGTTTCATTTTGTTTCTGACATGTTATGATGGTCAGACCGGAACATTTTCAAGGAACTCTACAAACACCACATAAGGGGTAAAACCACAACATGGCATAGTATCAGTTATTCTCATACAGGAACAAGCTGTGGAAATATTTAACACTCTAATAATTGAGAAAATTCTTTAACATGAGATATCACTCTTACATGCTCGTGCTGAGTTAGAGGTGATTATAAGTGCATTACTAAATGCCTTTTCTGTCCTGGCCTTACAGACAGCGATACTAACTCCGTCACATCGATCACTTCCTTCCAGCCTTTTAAACAGACGCACTGTAGTGTTTTAAATCAGCTACTCTATTTTACAGGCCTATACTGAGAGAGGTGCTAAAAATGTAGTCATAATATAGTTTATAAACTATACATATAGATATACTATCAATATATAGTGCATAAGTAGAAGAAATTTAACAGACCAGTGCATTCGGTACATTACATGCACATCATGTGTATATCATAATGAACACATTGTTGCTGCTATACATTTACACTCTATATATCTAAGCCGACAGCTATTGTTGACGACCATCATTACCACATCTTACAGTACTTACTATAAAACTTTAAATACTAATAAAAAGAATATGAGAAGATAGAGGAATTGAATTGTTCATAAGGGATTTAAACTTTTTTCTTCCTTAGTGCAGCACTGAAAGAGTCGGCGCTCAGAACTTTTCAGTTTTTGTTTGTAAACTTTCCTTCTGTACTCCTGTGAACTTCAGTTAATTGAGGCAAAGCCCGAGCTTGTTTCATGTGGGCTAAAGGAGATTATAGTATCAAAGTACAGCTTGAAAGAATGAACTCACTAAATATTCGCTGGCAAAGATCTCCTCAGACTGAGCCTCCTTGGTCTGCATCTCGTCCAGGAACTTCCTCAGGATGCTCCTTTGGTCCATGCTGAGTCCCTTTGTCCTCTGGGTGTCCTGCAGCTGGGGTAGGACATGTCAGGACTGGGGGCTCGTGGGACCGGCACACTGACAGCCTCTACTGCCAATGAGCCTGTGGTTAAGAACTGCATGAGCTGTCTTGAAGGAAGCATAGCTAACAGGTTCTGTGGTCAGATTAAAAATATCATCCGTCATGCAGGGTCCTAGAGCCCGTTTCTCTTCTCCCATATTGAGTGTGCGCATGTGCTGTGATGTGTGTGGACAATTAGTGTGCTGTGCTGCGAGAGTCTCCTACAGACGTGCAGTGAAATGACAACAACACAATCACGCTTCAAGACAGGGAATTAGGAAATGTAAAACAAGAAGCGGTGAGGCTGCACAGCCAGTCAGACAGCATTCATCACTCCCAGAATCCAGTTTGAAAGGCTAATCAGTCCCAAGAAGGTATTTCCCATTGGTAAAGAAATTGGTAAGACCCATTTCTCTGTGCCTTCTGTCTTATTGATTCCAGTGAATTTTACAGTATGTGCTCTGCTGAGCTAGCTCTTTTCACCTCTCTGTCTGGATTTGATATGTCTGAAAATGACATATTTGAAAATATTTAATGCCAAGTAACAACGTATGAAGTTAGACATCCCTTTCTGATGATGATGAGACAAACCAAGTCTTAAAAGTACAATTATAGAGTTTACTTGATTTGCAGTCATGACATAAAACGTACTCTTGGCCAACAGGTTTCGAAGAACTGTTCTTTTGTTACCCCTTTTAAAAGGTTTTGCCATGTTAAACAGGAAATTGTGACACTGACGTAAGCATGGTGTTTCAGGAATGCATTCTCCTTTACTGGCATCCTTATCTTTGAATTGTGCAGCTCCTTCTGCAGCCTAGAACAGTGTCAGGTGCTGCAACAGTGAACTCACATGCTTTGTGAATTCATTTTGCTCCCTTTTCAAACAGACTGTCAGCTCAGTGTTGTGATTTAGTGTTTGACTTGCTTTTCTTGTCTGAAAATTTCCAAAGATTCTCAACAGAAGGCTGCTTGTGTGCTATATGGGGCTGTAGGTTGGCTTGTCATAATGCATACATTTTTTAAATAATGTCTACTGGTGTATTGTATGCTTCTGAAAGTGAAACATATTAGCCTTCTAAAAATTAACATTTCACAAGAGATGGAAAATTGTACATTGTATGCATTTGTATATTTCAGTTCTACCACTGATATATTTTCATGGTTGCTGTGATAATGTGGTCAGTGAGAGCACAGTCCATGCGTTTCAAAAAGGATCTTATCAAGTAGAACATAGTGAAGCAAAAGGAGAAATATCTTCTGCCTCTATTTCCTTCCCTATCACATTTCTAAAAGACCTCTGTGTGCATCACTTCTATCCTGAGGTTAAGGAAGTGTAATTTCAGCCTGCCAGTCTATTATAGGGAACTAAGAATGAAGACAAATTGTCTGTTCAAAAATCTAGCTTCTGGCACTTCTCCTGTAGTACTTCAGATGAGTAAATCCAATTTTCATTTATTACATGAATAAAAACCAACCTTACAGTTGTGAGAAAAATGTTTGTGTACCCTTCGGAATCATCTGTATTCCTGTATTAATTACGTGCTCCTAAAGTGCAATCTGTTCTTCAGATAAGTCATAATAATAATTAAATACAATCTGATTAAACAAATAACACATAAACAATTGTGACTTTTTCATGACTACATTGAGCACATTGTTTAAACATTTAGTGTCTATGCTGAAAAAAGTAAAAAGTATGTGAATGTAAGTACAGTATGACCTCAACCAAACATTTCCTGTAGCTGGATCAGTCCTGCTGTAGCTGCTGTTTTGGACCATATGGAAATGGGCATATTTTAGCTGTCTTACAACAGCCACTGTAGAGATTGAGCTATAAGGCACAAAGTATAAAAAATGGTAAATTTGAAAAAATCTGGTTAACTTTTTTCAAAAGGAGTCCCAACAGGCACTTGCTGCTTGTTTGTGCAACAAGTCCACCTTTAATTCCACATTAATCTGCATTATTGCTTTCAATAAAACGATACTGATATTATTTTAATTAAGTCATGAGCACTTCTAGTCAGTTGATTAATGAGCAGGCTTCTGGAAAGTACATGCAGCTTTGATGCCATTACAGCTAGCAGCATTTGATCTAATTACAGTTTGACTGTAATGCTGGTTCTGTGAACATTTTTTCCCATGTCAGAAACGCCCAGTCACTTACGTGAAACTGCATATTTTAAAGCGGTTAAACAATGCATTGAATACCTTAAGAGCAAAACAGAAGCATGACTGGAGCATAAAGATGTTACTGTCTGTCACCATCCCGAAAAACTTCAAATATCTCACAAAATGTCAAATATGTCAGCATTTAAAAAATGAGAGCTCATTCAGAAATGAAAGAAGAGACCAGGTATCACTTATCATTGGACTGATCACTGTTCACTATATCTTTAATACATACATTTGAATGATTCTGGTTTCATGGCACTGTTGGAAGCCTTTTATCTCCTGTCTAAACCACAATAAGCTGTTGGACCTCATGATCACTCTTAGATCTTTGACCATGGAGGCCATGGTTCAGTGGTGCATAGAGAAGAAAGTCAGATGGATCCGTATCATAGATGAGGGCTTTAGTGGATGTTAAAAGAGGTCTGTTCATGTCTCAATGGTAGCTTAAAACACTTTGTGTCATGGGTCTATGGAACACCTTACATGCTGTGTTTTAAAGAGTTAAATACTCTTCCATCAGAAAATTTAGAACAAGCAACAACAACTAGGAGACTGTGGTGACCAGATATGATATCATGCTTTGCTTGATTCTTGCCTAAACTTCAACGGGGGGTCATGATAGATACTGTCATTCAGTGCTCAAATATTATCATTTTTATTATCAGGCAAAGACAAAATTTGGAAGGCATCAGTACTTCACATGGATTCTCTATATGGCTTCTTCATTGATACAATTAGTGGTTTTCATTTTGTAAAGTCAAAAAAAGCCATATACAGTAGTAGAAAGTTTTCTGTCTTTTCCTGCCACTGGTGAACAGTGAACATTGTGTCAGTTCTGGCCTTAGCACACACTGACAATTCTGAAGGGTGTAGCTGATGATCGCCCTGTGATAGACAGAGAAACCTCTGTAATATCCACACGCTCATGGCATCCCAGAAATCATCTCAGATTTTTTTCCTCATTCCAAATCCTGCAGGTGAGGAGGAGGACCAATGATATGAGCTCCACTCCTCGTTGTTGTGCATCTGCCTAAAGGCCTTCTTATGAAGGGCTGGAAGGGCTACAAGCTTATCTCTGTATAAAAATCAGTTGCACAATAGAGTTTTGATTGAAACGTCCAGCCAACATTATCATCTTACCTTCTCTTCATCAGGACCTCCTATGTTCTCAGATCTCACTGGGTTGATCTCCAACAAGTGAGCCACACATTCTGTGGATGTTAGTGAAATGCTGGATCTCTTTCCTGATTCACCTTCCCTTGGCAGATGATAGCCAGAATGATATAATCACAAACTTCTCTGTACTTATACTTAGCGCCAGTGTGCCCTTCAACTGCAAAAAAAAACAACAATCGGTGGTGATCAATAAATTATTACTTAACATGTATTTCTCCGCTGCATGAAAGTTTTGTGTCAGTATTTGCTGTTAAGCGCAATATGAAATTGCAGCTCTGAGTTCTGATAAAGTTGCCTTTTATATTCAAATGGAATCTGCCCTCTAGTGGCAGCTCTGAGAAATCCGGCAAAAGACACTGAAAGGTTTCATACAGTAAAAAAACGAAATCACTGCAGATGCACACTGCTTTCTAGGTTGTGGGTAGCAAATCGAATAGTGACATCATGAAGTGCTCCTTTAATAAAGTCTTTCTATAATGTTTTTTGTTTATGGGGCCCATATTACGAAATTCACAAATACCTTATTCTTTGGTATTTATGGGATTCCGTGTCATTACATGAATGTAATGTATTTTGTTTCCATAGAGGTACTGTATTTGCTACACACTGACATGCAATGTGTTGGACCTGCCCAGACATCTGGTTAAACTGGCCTTTAAATTAAACTTACTGATCAAATCAAATATTTTATTCCTGTAATTCTACAAAGAGGGATGGCATTTCTGAGGTTCAGCGTCATAGTAAGAATGAAGAGTTTTTATTGTATGTTACCTCAACCAGTGGAGCAAGGCTAGACACCAGAAAGATTGCAGCTGCATTTTGCTTCAGTGCCAGGCATGGACAGCTTTCTTATCATGTGAACCTGCATATCTGCAAAATGTGCAATGAACCTTTTTTTTCCATTCACTGTAAGATGTATTTTTTATACTATTCTGTAATAGTTGAGTAAATGAGTAAATGAGTATCTCCTGTGTACACTGCCTCTGTTCTGGTGTACACTGTCTTAGTTTGAACCATCCTATTTATCAATATTAGTATTATTATTTTTAGTAGTAATTGCACTATGTGTATCCTGTCTACAATGTCAGTGTCTTGTTTGTAATTGCATCATGGGCCAGAAGGACCAATATTTAATTCCACTGTAACTTGAACTTGAACTTTTTTTTCTGAAAAAGACAGTTGAAGATGAGATGAAAAACCCCATGTTTCTTCTGACCTCTGGGTGATGAAAAGGGTTTATTACTCTTAAACTGTTTGAAGGTGTTAATTGGTAAGCTATAATCAATAGCTACTGTATAGGGGTGATTTGAAAAACAAAGGCCAAATTTACCAGAGGAATTTTTGAAAATTACCTCATCTATACGATTTCTGCAAAAACATCCATTTCAAAGAAATGGCTCGTAATAAAGGTGACCAGAAAAAACCACAGTGAATATGTTTGCATGCGGCACTTTGACAACAAAACCACAGTCCACTTGAACAGAGCATCCTGTTGTTGTCTGACATGCCCCAGGTAAACTGGCGTGATGAGAGTCCTGTGTTTAATGCTGCTTTTTCAGAGTAAGTACATATTTCTACCAGCCATCAGATTAAGTTTTTAAGAATTTGTACAGAAGAAAAAAAATAAAACTACAAGTGATGTAAAATGATATACTAAGAATTTGTACATATCTGTCTGCCTTTGTCTCTTTATGAGTAGCTCACTGTCTGTTACAGACGTACAGTATCAGGATATTTTGTAATATCTTGTACCAGTAACTTCTGACAATACTGTATAGAGGTTGTGCCCACCATCTCCTGCAGTGTTATTCAATAATTTACTACTGTGGGAAGATCAAATAAGGTACACTAGCCATACAGTATGTCTTAAATTATCTTAATTTACTAGAAATCTTAACTAGAATATCTTATGATCAATTTTACGCTGGATAAATACGTGTCTAGTAAACATTGAACAGATATCATCGTTCGTGAAGCACAGTTTGGGAAATAATTACATCAATAATTAAGGCCAATAGTTACATCTGCTGGCTGTGTGATTGCTTGCCGATGTACAGTATATTAATATTAATAGTAAGAATGATAAATATTTGGATTTACGAATATCCCTAATTATTTCAGTAAAATCGTTTAATTTAGAAAGATTTCATGAAATTCCTGTTTTTGCATTCTTACCGTAAATCTCAGAGATTAATTGACACAATTCTAAATTAAGTGCAGAAAGAATAGATTTGTTTTAAAGTGGAGAGAGAAAGTTAGGGCATTACATTAAATGACTACAGTCCTCACCAGGAGAAGATAACAGAAGATGAACAGATGGATGGTTTAAAAACAGAAAAATTACTTTAACACAATGAAAATAACATATCATCTTATTTTTCAGCTGGATTTTTTAGTTTTTTTGAATGCGGACACTTCAACCAGTCACTTCTTGGTGTTAGGGTGTCAGTATTATAGCATTTTCGGATCATTTTTCATCATAGAATTGTACTAACTCATCTTTTTTTAAAGGCCTGCTTGCTTTCTCCTTTATGGTTAATCTGGAATATTTGAATAGGTTTCAAAACTAAAACCTTTAATTGTTTCTCTTTCTTGAAACATGCAATAGGGATAAAAGGCAAGTACAGGGTTTTTATTTAATTTTTTAGATTTTTGTAACACTGATCCAGACCATGCGGATGAATAGGTGATGAGAATGCGACTTTAGAATGGTTTGACATGGGTGATTTCTAAAATCCAACTGTCAAAACAGTCTTGGTGCATAGCTAACTCTTTTTTTAAAAAAACCTAACTTCCATATCATTGGCACAATACAAACAAGGCATTCCAAAAGAAGTGAAATCTGCCTGCTTTGAAGCTTAGAGCTTTATGACGTGAGGCTGTTTATCCACTGCAGCTACTGGTAAGATTGCCTAAGCAGAAGGAAAGATGAGTTCAGGACAGGGAAACACCAGACCTGCTCTTAAAAGGGAGTGAAAGCCATACTGTCTTAAAATACTACATTTCTATTTAGCAAAGACACAGATGTTTTGTTTCAAAATTCAATAATGGAAATCCTTGCTTATATCTTATTTACAGTTGTGTTATTTGGGTGTGTGTACAGCACTGCACATCTATGTGTTAGATGCCTGGCACATAAGAAACTAGAGGTATTAAAGGACGTGAATGTTCATTACCAGGTAGTGTCCAGCTCCACTGTGACAGAGCTGAGGAGAAAAGCACCGTTGCAGGAACTCTCACAGTCGTCTGTCATTACAAGACCAACGGATACCTGTATAACAAGAAGTACTGGTGCCATGGAGAATCACGCAACTGGTGTGAGATTCTGGCAGACAGCGACAACTTTGTGAAATGGGAATATCGAGGGAGGATCTTTTTACAAGATAGACAAGGAGTCTTGCTGATCAGAATGACACAGCTCCGTTTGGATGATACAGGAGTATACTGGGTGGGGATTGACAGACCTTATACTGATATTATGTGGAAGATCACCATCAAAGTGACAGAAGGTACAGTAAAGAGCTTGTCTACAGTATTTTTCCTTTGCTCACCTACTCATCCTTCATCTTCTCAGCATCCTTAAAACCCAATATTCCAGCATCTAATTCACTTCCTATCGACAGAAACAATTTCTCTCAACTGTTAGTCTTAAACATTGGTGTTTTCTGTTACCATATTGAAAAAAAACTACATTTTGAATTCAAATGTCCCACACAAGTATTGTAATGTAATACCAAATAGGAAGTTAAATATGCACCACAAGTAGTCATGTAAAGAAAAAGAAAATGTAAATATGAATTGAACAACATTAGCTGATAATAGTCAGATTAATACTGAGAAATGTATATGTACCGTATACTGTATACCTATAGGCCATATATACCTATGTTGACTTTTTCTTGATTTTTTATACTGTATCAGTAAATCAGTAAAATAGACTGATTCCTCCTGACCAGGAGGAATAGCTTTAATGTTTGGGAAGAATTGTGCAGATGGTCTGCATGAAGTGGGCTGATTACCTCCACAGAAAACAGATTCTTATTTAGTCACTTATTTATAATCTTGCAACACCAAACCCACACTCAAGTGAGTTAATCTGTGGTGGTTTTCCATTTCCTTTATAATATATTTTTAAATTTGACTCAGGCACATTGTAAAGTCATGCCATCTTACTGAACTAACTCCTGCACTGTTTGAGCTGACAACTCATCGAGATGGCTGGAGTTAAAAAATAACTCATCTACGATCTTTGTTTCTACAATATACAGTATTTAAGTTCTTTTTAAGTTTTTCAATTTGCTTACTAACGCAGTCACACCTGCATACCTGCTTGACAGGAAACAAACAGTACTTTCATCGTCCACAGTGAAGGCAGAGTACTTCATTTGAAGACACATACTGTGCTGTATATCTAGTTTCTGGACAATTGCTTGCTTGACAATTGTGTACAATAACATCATGGGCATTCTCTTCAAAAACTTACCTTTACTGCGTATAAGGACACATTAATTAAGCTAAGTTGGAAAGAATTGCCCATGGATCGCAGTGGTAAAAAGCCCCAGATTGAAAGAGTGCAGTATGTTTAGCATATTTTTGAGCTTCTGTCACAAACCACAAGCAGGCACGCAAACGCCGTCGCAATCCCACGAGCACCCACTAATTAACTTCACGCACTTTGTCTATTTAAACTTCCACTGTGCAGCTTGTCCTCGCTCACTATTGAGGTTTCCTCAGCCTGAGCTGCGAATCTAGTAAGCGATTTATCGTTTGTTCTTGTGACCCCCTGGATTTCTGACCTACCGCTTCTGATCCCCGACCTCACTTTAGCCTAACGATTTGGATAACATTTTCTCCCTCACTCTCTGCACAGGGCCTTTTCCCACTTCTTCCCTTGGAGCAAGTTATAGCTTCTTATTTTCAGAAAGACAAGATTTAATCATACAGTACATAGTGACCATTAACCGGCACTAGGAACAGTCCCGCGCATAAGATCTCTTTGAGGCCCCTAGGAAACGGAAAATTTAGAATAGCCTACATTTTAAAACCTGAACTGTGCATCTTTAAGAATGTGAGAGGATACTGGAGCGCAGGATGAAAAGGTCACAAGATCAGCCAAACTCCACACAGACAAGTGCCCTAAACTGAGACCAGACCCAGAAGCATGGAGCTATGAGATTACTAGTTCTAGGTCTCACCAGCATACACTTTTCTTCTGTTATTTCTTTGCGCGGGTGAGTAATCTGCTCTCAATTATACACCCATATGTCAGACACATTGAAAACAGAGGTGTCCAAGAAATCATGTACTCATGTTTTTGGAATTGCACAGCTAGATTTAGTAAGGAAATACTATTAATAAATAAACCAGAATGTCGTAACAGTAAATTACTTATAGTGTCATGTGCTCCATGCAGTCATATTGAATATTTTTTAGAGCTGTGTTACATTCTGGTCAAATGTTCTGTGTATGATCACTCCAATAAGTTAGCTAACATTTCTGGCAAATTTATTTATTAAACAGACACTCTTGGTTCCACGTTTTTGCATTTCTGCATTGCTAAACAATTCTTATTTAAAACTTGCCTCTAAATAAAAAAAGACAAAACATTAGCAGTATATAAACTGCTTGTAAATAAACATCTGTTCATTGCACTGCAGTACATAATACCAAAACTCTTTGAAGCACTATGATATTGAGTATAGAACATTAGAAATGCATTATCTTACCAATGCACAGTATTTACCATCTGTTTAACACTGAGTCATATGCTTTTTTGTTACATTTTTATTTATTGTCCAGTCTTATAATTTGAACATAAGCCCTGAATAAAAATAAAACAATGTCCCCAAAAAGAGTGATCCTAACACAGATCTGTTCTAATTACATCACCCCAAAGCACTCACCCCTTTTTGTTCTGTGTTTTCTATCCTTTAACCAGTTGTCAAGGGGCAGCTTCAGACAATACTAGCTAGCAATTGTTATGTCTACAATTATCTCAGTAATAACTTTGATTCACAAGTAATGGTCATCAAGCTGGCAAGTTCTAACTCTGAATCATGACATTGTGGATTCAGCAGTGGAAGTAACAGCGATCTTTGAGGCATGGAAAAACAAGAATACACTGGCTATCAAATGTGTCTAACCACTGTACTTGAAATCATACACACATCTGTCATAAACTACGCTGGATTTGAAGTAGAAATATCTGAATTGTTTTGACTATATATTGACTATATTTTGACTGCTTGTTATAGAGTCATCTCTCTTAATCATCAATTAATTAATTGTGGATTAATTAATAGAGTTCTTATTCAGGCCCTATATACTGTACTGTATGTGTTCGCAGTATGTTTCCTTTTATATCCCAACAGTTCCAGTGTCTCGACCTAACCTGGTATTCCTGGGCCCTGCTGAGGTGTCTTGCTCAGGACAGCCCCTGATAGTGCGCTGCAATAGTGTGCAAGGGACAGGTGTGAAGTACACTTGGTACAAGAGTGTCCAGCCAGCTGATGTCCCAGTGCAGTTCTCCACTGACCTGACCTTGTGCTGCACCACTCTGGCCGAGAGTCAGCTCTATTACTGCACAGCCAGCAATAGTGTGAACCAGGAGCACAGTGACCTTGTGAGAGCAGAACTTCTAAAGCCAGCTGAGGAACAGTGTGCCTATCATGTCACTATTGGCAGTGAGTACCAGCGCCAGCAGCCCTGAGGAATATAGGGATTGAACAATGCAGAGATTCTTGCTGGATTGTGAGACTTTTATAATTCCATGATAGAAACCTTTGTTAAAGTGAGTCCAGAAATTACAGATTAATGTTCTACTAACCGAGGCACATCAGTAGAATGCAGTCATATTGCGACTGAGCTTTTTGGTTTCATTTTGTCCTTACTTGAAACGGGTAAGAGCGATACAGTGGTCCAGTGTTTAGTATTGCTGCCTTGCAGAGCTGGGTCCTTAGGTTCAATTCCTGGGGTGCTATCTGTGTAGAATATGTATGTTCCCCCCATGTTCGTGTGTGTTTCCCCTGCTAGCTCCGGTTTCTTCCCATTGTCCAAAGATATACTGGTATGTTAACTGGCTTCTAGGAACAATGGCCCTGGAATGAATGTGTGTCTTCCTTGAGATAGAAAAGTGTCCCGTCTGTGGTGTATCCTGCCTTGTGCCTGTTGCTTTTTGGCTCCACAGCGACTCTGAGTTGGAAAAAGAGTTTGGAAAATGGATAGATGGTAATATGATGAGTTAAAGGCAAGATACAGCTACAGTACGCTGTGCTGAAAAACCCTGGTCAGGGCAAAAGCCATTTGTAGTGGGCAAATTATTTTGATTGCTTGTTTGTTTAATAGGTTACTGAAAAATACAAAAGAATAACCTCAGTAATAGTAATTATGCCGTAGTTGTGCTTTATAGATCAAATAATATGTTAGGAAAAGTGGAATCCATGACAAAAGAAAAAAAAACAGCACTGAAAGTGACGACGTTAATAAAATTTAAGTTTTAGAACTAGAACTTATAGTACACCGCAAAGTTTTATAATGATGACTGTTTATTTGTACAGATGTATTTTTATTGTTTTCTATTTGGCAGGCGATCATTCTTATGAGTGCTGGGATGAAGAGTTAATGAGCACAGCTACAGCTCTGATATCCACTGAATTCACAGATGGCTATCTGCCTTCCTCAGTAGTTAGGGAGGCCAGTGAGTTCAATGTCTCTGTCAGGTAAGCCCCAGGCATTTTTAAAATGTATACTTGTTTGGTATAAGCACTCCTGTTTCATACCACGTTATCACTAACTGCTACCATGGAAAATATAAATAACGTTGCATGGTCATGGAGTAGTCATGCAAATTGTATTCTGACTCAGAATGAATCAAATCACCTGCCTCTTAAATGCCGACTGCATTTCATTAAATCGTTAAGTGAGGAGTAAAGATTGTGAGATCATAACAAAGGTTACAAATGAAAGAAAGAAGGACATTTGGCCCGTGTAGCCCTGTTTAGTAGTTGGTAATTAATTAGTAGTAGCTAATTATAATCAGGGGAGTGGGTGTTCTACAGAACTACAAGAGAGTTGGGGCAGAAATTACCTTTGTCATTTAAAATTAATTGTAACAACTGAAATCTGGGGCACTGGTGGGAGGTTTGGGGTATTGTCTGCCCCCTATAAAACTGTTTTACTGTTTGCTGTGGAAGTACAGAAGATACTACTTAGGCTTGTTGTCAAGGACCGTACCCCGACTTCTTTTACAAAATGGCAGGATCAATTACTGTAGCTACTAGCAACCCAATGAGTTAGATGGGCCAAATGGCCTCCTGTTGTTTGTAGCCTTTCTGATAGTCCTAGGCTCATCATTCCTGTGTTGCTCCCATTTTAAAAGCCTTAGTTTTTTAATGGCAAATTAGTTTTCGTTTCCCCCCAGTAGGACTGAGATAAACAGGGTCGAGAAAAGTGTGTGAGTGTGTTGAGGACAAGGACAAGCCTCGAAACTTTCTGAGATACAGAGCAGGAGGGTGTGGGCTGAGAGCTCACTGTGTACACGCTGTGGTTTCTGAATGGGGCGGTGGAGGCGGACTGGAAAGTAAGAAAGCAGGCAGAATGGAAACCAAATCACCATCAAGGGGGGAAGAGGGCTGATAAGCTGACAGATAAGAACCCATAGGCTAAAGGCCAGTCTGACAGCATGCTGTGTGATGTTCAATATAAATTAAGATGTGCTCTATCACGAGCTTTTTATTAAAATGAATAATTGGAAATCTGTTAGCGTCATTGGTTTTTAAGACTCACTTTTCCTAATGGTGTCACTGTCACTGCACACGTAGTATATCTCTTCTACAGTACGTGCAAGATGCATGTCAGCATGTTACCATAAACCTTAGAGCTGTGCTTAGGACTTGAGTACTTACTGTAAATGCACTGGGGTGTGTAGTAATACATCCTTTATAGACACCAACCATACAAGCCTTGATTTCATTAAAGGTGTGTTTTGAACTGAAATTACAGAACAGTGTAGTCATTGTTTGTCAGTGCATTGTTCTAGTACACTGCTTGATCATAAATTGAGAGGACTATATCAGGCTCAAATATTTTAATAACATCTAGAACTCAGTTCCTGGAGAACCCTGAGTCTTCCATTTAATGTTTCAGCCAGCGTAGTCAATTAAACAATTAATCTTATTATATTTAAGGTATTTTATAGTTGATTACAAAATATATTCAGTTCATTCAAGGTACAATTGCATGTACTGTATTGTAAATCACCCTAGAGGCTGGTTCGAAATGTTACTATGATGCAGCTAATTGACTAAATAGACTAACTGTGTAACTGAAATGTGGGTGTGACAAAAGCCAGAAAAAGTGAGCCCTGGACGAGCTGAGTTTGAGATTTCTGCTGCCACGAAGGCCTGATGAATTAAAAATTTCACATCGGATTGCTTCCTGTCTGTCTATCGCGGTGAGTAGTGTGTGTGAGCAGAATTGTTTTTCTCTTTGTGTTGTGAAGGTTTTGATTTCCTTTCCACTGAGTTGTCTTCTTTCTAGTCCTCTACAGTCTTTAGGGTATCCAGGTCTGAGGGTCGGAGGAATATTTTTTTTTCAGTATGAAAAGCAAACTAGCTGATACAGTACGTCACCACAGTCACTTCAATGTGTGCTATTGCGCATGTTGAACTCGGCAGCTCGGGTCGAAGCTCGATTGTAGTTGTTTATAGCAACATTAATATAGTTTCCATATGTTGTGAAAATGACTTCAGCGTCAGTGTTTCTTTTTTTAAACTGCTAAATAGACTGTTACTTTGAAAAACAGGGGAGTGCGGGGCAGATATGTTGATGATACTGTATGCTAACAATCGAAAACCAAAACAGTTACATTTTGATTAAACATTACAAAGTAGCTACATGTAGGAATTAAAACATTAAAACATTTTAAACCAATACATCCCTCCATACATTTTCAATCATCGCTTATCCAGCTACAAAGTCAATTTAACTTACAAATTACCACTTCTACAGTGACCTTTCTCTCTTTGTCACGTTATCATAAACATTTTCATCAGTGCAATATTCTTATTACACTTCTTAATATACTTGTTTCTTTGTCATCGCTAAGCAAGTTGGAATTTTTCATTTTTTTCGTTGTCAGTTGCATCAGGAATAACATTTTCAATTTACATCCACATGTGCAACAAATCAATTTGGTTTCACGTGTAGCAGTTTGGACAAACTATCCATTACGAAAACATTTTAGACACGTGTTCTGAATAAGCTAAATGCTGAAATATTTTCTCGTTTCATTTCTTTAGATTTAAAAATGTAATTTAGATTAGGTATTTGTCAATCATTAATGTATAAGTATATTTGTTTACAACGTGTTTATGAATGCTAAAAGCAGTCACAGTGTTAACAAAATGTATGCCACCAGCTATTTCAAAGAGTGAAACTTCTGAACAGAAATTTTGAATTTGTTTAAAAAGGGCCCCTCCTGTATCAACTTCCACCCTGACCTTATTTTACTGTTTATCACGATTACATCAATGAATTATATTACTAGAAACGTTTACTAACCAACTTTGAAGAACACATAATAAATAACAAAGAGACACACATTTTACGAAGATAACATATTTTAGCATTGAAAATAATAACATGAAACATGTATCTGTTGTCTTCTAGTCAAACGCCTCAACTAGTCTTCATGTCTAGTTAGAAAATGTGGCTTGTGCACCGTTTGCTATTTACATGGACCTGACAAACTCAAAACCCAATGAAATACAGAGGCATTATAAATACAGTGACTTGATTTGGCATACCTCTCTTTTGAGATCACTTATCCTGCTCTTCTTTTCTACTCTTTTTTACTGTACTGTACAGTAGGTACATCCTTTTGGAGGACAATGTGTGTTTACCAGTTGCTACTACATTATTTTAATTTTAAACCATTACAGCACAGTTTGCAATGCAAGTAAAAGGATGTTTGCGAGATGTAATGAAAGATTAATAGAATTGATCAACATTTTCTGCTTTCCAAAATCAAACGAACGTCATTTGGCGTAGCAGCGGCTGAAGCTATACCGATACTGTCATCTTATGGCAAACATGAGTCAATTACTACATCGGCGGTGAAATAAACCACTACACTTAGTTTATTTGGTTTATACACTTACATCCAGGTGGATGCTGCACATTGGTGGTAGTGGAGGGGAGTCCCCATTACCTGTAAAGCGCTTTGAGTGGAGTGTCCAGAAAAGCGCTATATAAGTGTAAGCAATTATTATTATTACTTAAATTCACAACTATTAATTTTATCATTTATAGCTAGCAAACTATAACAGTCCAGATCAGCACAGCAGCAACAGAAAGAGCCACTGGAGGGAATTTGTCAATGTGAAAAAATATATTGTGTTGCACATCCCCCGACCGGCGGAGTAATCCTACTCCATTGGGCCCCTGAGCAAGGCCCTTAACCCCAACTGCTCCAGGGGTGCCGTATATATGGCTGACCCTGCGCTCTGACCCCAAGCTTCTCTCCCTGTCTGTGTGTCTCATGGAGAGCAATCTGGAATATTCAAAAAGACAAATTCCTAATGCAAGAAATTGTATATGGCTAATCAAGTGATCTTATCTTATCTATCTTACATTGAGGGGGGCCCCCCAGGTGGCCTCGGGGCCCTAGGCAGTTGCCCAGCTTGCTAGGCTGTACCAGGCTGCAGGCCACAGTGCTTCGCTGCCTGTGCTCTGACACCTTGTCACATGCTGCTTAGTGTGCATCTGACGGATGTGTCCTGTCCGAGTCTCGGTGACCCTGTTTGCTGTAGAGTGGAATGTCAGGAACTCGCTCTGTCTCACCATTGCTGTTTTTTTTTTCAGGTGCAGCTGGACAGTGAAGTCTTTGTCATATGAAGTGTGTCGCTGGCTGCTGTTTGTGGCTCTTCTGGTGTCTTTTATACTTCTGCGCAGATATTTCAAGTTATGTTACTGTAGGTGAACACCAGAAAGAATCGGCCATAAAAAAAAATCTCCAGTCTTCCTTACACACCATACTGCAGACCTGCATTGCTTGAGCTATTGTGCTTGAAAGAAGACATGCAATTCGTTTTTTTTCTTATACCGCAGTGAGTGCTCTCTCATTTTCTAACTTCATGCATTTTTCAAATCAGTGCTTGACACTAGTTTGTGATCAATTTGACCAACTTCCTTCTCAGTTAGTGTCACAACTGGACACTTTGATTTTGATCAGGAAACATATTCTGCCACTCTAAAGCCCAAAGCCAAGGCAGAAACATTGTCCCTCATGGAATAGAGCTTCAAGCAATCTGCTACTGCAATTGGATGAATAACCTTTTCTTTTGTATTTCAGGTGTGAGTAACTACATTCTCTTGTGTATCAGTGAAAACCAGAAGCTGGTTATTTCATGCTCATTTATTTTTAATCTGGACATAAAAATGATGTATTAAAACTGCATACTATATATTTATTTTTCTACTTCATCAGTGTAAATGAGCCTGCAGCTTAAAAACCTTGACTATAATGAGTGTCTTATTGAATTTTCTCCTCTATCCAGGGAAAAGCAATGTTAGCAGCATGCTCTGAATATGATCATTAACTATTGTCTTATATTTAAGTCGTGTGTTCTATGAGATTGTCATGAGGATTGTACACTGTGGATAAATGTATCCCTTGGCTCAGGCTGCACATCTATCAAACATGTTCCAATAGAAAATGGTAGTACACACTACAGACTGAATGCTGGCAAGTGAGCTAGTCATTATACATGCCATGATGCACTGCATGCCCTTGAGTGGATAACAGCAATGGTAGCACACTCTTGGATCCTGTACTGTGTGGAACCAAGTAATGTGTATGAAATTGGGTACACAAATGGAACCATACTGTAGCTCCACAGTGCACCACTGGTAGGGCACAACTGTTTGAACAGGTCAAGAAACAGTAACAGTGTTACCCCCATATAGCCTGATCTCGGCAGATTTCAGCAGCTACGCCAGGCTGAGTCTGGTTGCTGCCACAAGGGATGTTGGTGGACACAATTTTCTCTTAACCAGAATGTCTAAAATCAAAGCATATTAATACAGTGACTGAGGACACCATGCTGTAGGAGATATTAAGTCAAGATCTACTTGGTGATTTACATTCTTACGGCACTATTCATGCGAGTAGCGACTCATGTGTTAACCCTGGTATCCTGGCTGAATTCCACTCTGGGTTTACACAATCTACTTCAAGTTTTCCCTTAAATCAGTTGGTTCTCATTTCTTTGCCTGATCTACTTCACAGATTCATGGGGGGCAGTTGGTACATTGCGGTTGCTGTCCATCACTCAGATGGATGTCGCATAGCTCTCCACCTATATATACAGTACAGTATATACTAGAGCTATAGGATGAAAAGCTCAATGAAAACGTAATTTTTATATATACAGTATATGTATAGATACAGTTGACGTGGGAATGTCTGTCATTTCAAACTTATTATTAAATGATGAAGGGTACAGAAGCCGTTCTTGCTTTAAATGATCGTACTCAGTGGAGAGGTTTTCTTTGAAGTCCAGGGCTGTGCCCACTTACCGTATGTGTCTCTGTTTCAGAATAAAGGGCACAGAAAACACTATAGTACATATCTGGAAAAGAAACTGCACAGAAACTGCAGAGGACTGAAGGAACTCAACAGCAAGGAGATCATTTCTTCGCTTTCAGCCCAGCACCTCTGATTCAGTCTTCTGCTGAGCTACAGCATGCTGAACTTCACACAAGAGTTACTGCCTTCATGGGAGAACTGCAGTCAGTGGACAGGTTTCAGACCATGCCATTCATGGGAGGAATGAAAGTGTTGTGCAGTATAAACTGTGATGCCAGACAATTCCGGTTTACTCAGGGACACTATAACATGTGAGAAAAATACGTTGGTCTTCAGATATGAATACAGCTCATTCCTAATCCTATCAAATAGATGCCTTTTAAAGGAATATATACTTTTAAACACTTGTGTACCAACTATTTTCTTGTGGTAAACCTGGAATTATTTGTACCAATGAAAGTCCATGAATGAGTTGCTTGTAGTAATGTCAACAATAGTTATCACTATTGATTTGTATGGGAAATGTCAGTCTGAATAGATTGGTATTGCTGTACTTAAAATGTCCACTAGATGGGGACAGATCTTGGAGTCCCTCACTTGTCATATCGCTCTCACTCTTAAATTGTTTGCTGCTATTTCTGGATTCAGGTACTGGTAACATGAACTGTCCCTCACGAAGAAATATAAATAACTTCACTAAGCGCTTCTATATTGCATTGCACCCAGCCATGAATAATAGAACAGGGATCAGACAGGCAGGCTATTAATATGCTCCTAATCTCCACCTGCAGTCAGCTCGGATTTCTGTTTTTGAGCATCTGGTGACCTGAAGGGAGAGGGGGTTTCAGGAAGGTGCCATTAAATTAAGTAAACTCACTCCATTATAGTTAAAGGGGAGGTGAAAGTGGCGATGATGATAGTCTGTTTCACCTGAACCTTTTTCTAAATGTTCCGTTGTTGATATTGCGGCAGCGCTAAGACAGATGGGGCAAATGCTTAAGAAAATATGAAAATAGCAAATATTTTCTTCTTGTGTTTTACGTACACTTTGAAACTCAACCTAAAAATGTTCAACGTTTTTCAAAAGTGGTCAGATTTTATTTAATTTTCTGATACAGAGAGGAGCAATTGTGGGGCATATCTGACTGATAACCAGAAACGGTAATTTCAGCACCACTGCGGTCATGTATTGTACCTCCAGGTGGAGCTCAAACCCCACGTTAGAAAGCAACGTCAGGCAATGGTGCCTGATAAATGCTCACAAGGGCAGGCATGATCGCGCCTTGGTTAGCACTGTAGTCCTACAGTATGGCTTCTGCATTCTAGGTTGGATTGTAGCCTTTGGTGCCTATTTGTGTGGAGCTCACTAGGTGAATTTTCACCATCTGTTCGAGTTTACTTCTGCTTTCCAAATGCATGCAGGTTAGGTTTGATTTGCAGCTATATACAGTAACAATCTACCCAAGATTTCAGTCTGGCAGATTTGCTAATTGAACATGCTGTGGCATACTACAGCCCTGACACACATGCCACATGTGTAAGGAGGTTTTCTTCATCCAGTTTTAGAGCACAGGGCTGAAGAAGGGGGATTGTGAATTCATTTGAAAGATTATTCAGAACACAGACATGTGATGCAGTACGAGATGTAATAATACAGTGAGCTTACACAGCTGTTCTAATGATCATATGCAGTTGTCTGCTCTGCATAAGAACCTAAAATAGTTACCAGTGAGATGAGGCTGTTTGACCCATCTTGTCCATTTGGTAGTAAGTAGTTAATGGATCCATTTCATGAAATAATTCAGGGCATCAGGTTCAGTAACATGACAGGGCAGTTTGTTCCATAACACCACAACCTTTTGAGTTAAAAAAAGTGCCTATGGTTGTTTGTTTTAAATGCATTCCCATGTACAGTAGTGTCAACTTCTGTCTAATGGTTTGTGATTTGTCTGTTCCCTTGAGGATTTTGAATACTTATCTTAGAAATAATTATCTTTTGAATGCTTATTTTCCATTGTTGTCACTGCAGCAATGTCAATTGCCTTGTAATCTCGTTTCTGTGCAAGACTAAAATGATTTAGTTCCTTCTGCCTGTCGGGGCAGGATGTAAGGATCAACTTTAAGTTGGTAGGTAAAACCCGGGGTCGTGGCCACAGATACCTACTCCAGTGTTTCAAAATTGGCATGAAGGCCAGGAACCCTCACGATGAAGGAGATGTTTATGAGGTCTATTAGAGTGGTGTTAAAATAAGCACTGGGGGAAATGGTTTAATTCTGTTTAGTAGTGTTGACAGTCAACATTAACAGCACAGCTCATATGCAAGACCATGCCCCTTCCTTCAAATAGAAAGTGTAGTTGTCTGCATCAAAGGTGCTTGAGGGTTCAGCACCGGTCCCAGGCATTTTTAATTGGGCCAGTGATGCTTCTGCCTTTATTTTTCCGGTTGAAGGCTGTGCACGTGGTTGTGCTGGGAGTTGGATGAGGTGCTGCAGTGGTGTGTCTGAGCTGCACAGGGACTCCCTGGGATCTTGTGCCAGGGTGCCCAGTGGGAGGCATGGTGAAGTGTGAAATTGTACCAGCTCATCAAAACAAACCCGCCCAAGAACAAAGGAGTCATGACAACGAGACCCATCCTCTGGTGCAGAAAGACGTCCCTGGAGGACCAAAGCATCAATAATTTCTCCCGCTAAAGCATTCATAGCAAACATGGCTAGCACTTGATAGGTCTAGTCCCACCAGACACACCTGCCGAAGGCTCCACAGCTGAAATGTAGTGTTCCTTTTCTTTACCTTTCAGCATAGTATGAACCTTTACCTGTTCCTTTTCACACTGAAGCTGTGCCACATACTCCCACAATGGCTCCAGGTTGGCATTATTGTCAGCGGCTCAGCTGACCAGCTCCTGGTTGTTTTGCCAAGTGTGCTTTTCAGATCCTTCGTGCAAATTTTATACCTTTTCCAGATTCCAGAATTCCAGAAAATTCCAGAAAACAAACAAAAGAATTGGTTAAACATTGTTTTAACAAAAATGAGCCTTTAAAATTTAATGATGTGGAAACATACTGCCAGGTATTGTTCATTTCTTTCAAATGATACAGTAATCCAGGAACCCGGACCTGGGACCTGCATTTGTTGAATACTGGTCAGGCCTTGAGCCGTGTTGTTATATCATTTGTATCAATTCCTTTTCACATTCTGACCCATCTGGACTTGAGCATGGTGAGGAGAAAATTAGATGTTTTATTTCCGTGATCAGTTTTTTGTTTATATGAATTGAAAGGAAGCAGCATTTTAAGAACAGTAGAAATGTAAATAATGGAAAAAAGGCTATTTGGCCCCATACGGTGCCTTCAGAAAATATTCACCCCCCTTTTCACATTTTGTTCCTGTTTCACTTCCATTTTAACACATTGAAATATGTTTTTCTCCCTTCAATAACACAATAAATACTGTAAAACACATTTATGAATAAAAAAATATTTATTCAACAACATTTGTTTCCCCAGAATGAAAGACTTACATTTCTCATTTACGAAAGTACTCAGGCCCCCCGCCGAGTCAATACTTTGTGCATAGTCCTTTAGCAGCAGTTACAGCCGTGAGTCTTCTTGGGTATGTCTGTACGAGATTTGCACATTTAGATTGTGGAATGCTTGTCCATTCTTCAATGCAAATTTGCTCCAACTCTGCCAAATTAGATGAGAGTGTCAGTGGACAGCAATTTTCAGGTCATACTACAGATTTTCAATTGGATTCAAGTCTGGGGTCTGGCTGGGCCATTCCAGAATACTACTTTCTTTTTTCAAGCCATTCCTTGATAATTTTTGGGTCATTGTCCTGCTGGAAAATGAATTTTTGCCCTAAACGCAGATCTCTGGTTGACAGAAACAGGTTCTCCTCAAGGATTTGCCTGTATTTGGCTCCATCCATGTTGCCTGATCTTAGTAGTGTCTGGCTTGTGCCATGTTTTTTTCCATTTTGTTGTTGGTGCTCCTAGGAAGGTTCAAAGCTTTGCCAATCTTTTCATAATCTTCTCCAGCTTTTTTCCACCTAACAACTTCATCTCAAAGTTCAATGGGCAGCTCTTTGGTCATGACAGCAGGACTGATCTGATCTGCTGTTTTAGTTGTGAGACCTCACAAAGTCAGTGATATTTACTGTGCAATTGAACACAGGTGGATTCGAAATGAACACAGGTGTTAACGTATTTAGTGTGATCTCTCAAGATAATTGAATACCTCACCCAATTTAGGTTGTTATAGCAAAGGGAGTGAATACTTATCAATTAAGTAATTTTCAGATTTTTATTTTTAATATAATTCTGAAGACATCTAAATTCTTTATTTCATTTTAACTTTATAGAGAATTACTTCTACAGGAGTGGAAAAAAATCCCATTAAAATATGCTTTAATCTGACTTTGCCACATGGCTTAACGAGAAATAATCAATGGGGGGTGAATACTTTCTGAAGGCACTGTATATGTGGATAACATGTTTGCAGGAAAGTGTTGAACTTTGAGCAGCTGAAAAAACAATAACAGTTCAGTGGAAAGCTGCCTTCGGCCTCTCTTTTCTGCAAAACATTTGAGCACAGCAGTGCAGTTACTGGAGATGGCGGGCTGTTTTTTTTTTCACTTTTGTTTTAAAATAGACTCGTGTCTTTTTTTGAAACTCCTTTAGGTTTCATTTCATTAGGTGCTTAGCACCTGGTGACATTCCTTGTCATTGGGGCAAAAAGTCTGCTGTGAACCATTAGATGATCAACGGTACTACTCTGATAACAGTAAAACTCTGCCCTGCAGTGTTATTGCTTGGTGTCTGCCTGACCTCTCGCTGAGATGCTACAGCATTTCGAAGCATTTCGTGAGAGTGATAGCTAATCGGCATGCTTGTCCAGTGGCGGGGGACTGTGCAGGTGTCGGGCTACACCTGGCTGATGAGGACAGTGTGTTTGAAGTCTGGACCGCTGGAGCTATCTGATTTGTGCGCCTGGAGGATAGCGTGCAGGCGATGAGCCTTCAGCTTCTAGTAGCGCCGTAAACAAAGCAATCTGTTCCCAGGCAACGAAGGAACACTGTGCTCACTTTCTAGCACCCGGTACAAAAATACCCACACAAACAAATTCAGATCACATTGGTTAGCCACAGAATCACACACTCAGAGCAAAAACAGGGACAAGAAGTACAGTATAATATAATGCCAGTAGCTGAATTAGCAGTAAAAAAGATCATTTTACTTTTTAATGGGCAGTATGGTTGAAAACTTGCTGATCTCTCTCAATAGTTCTCATTAAACAGCAAATTATGTTTATATACAGTACATAGTCCCTGTGTATAGCAGACAAGCTCTAAAGAACCTTGTCAGCCTTTATTCTATCTGCACATGGTACACTGAGGGTCTGTGGGTTTTGAATTTGTCCAGAAAATGGCCGATGTCTGGTTTTCACATCAAAAAAATATCCAGTAACATCTGATCTGACAGTATGAGTGAACATTAACTGCACTCTGCAGTACATTGTTAGCATGGTTTGTTTGGCTCTTTAGCAGCTTCTGGTTCCTTGTACCACTAGGTGGAGTGATGCTATAGAAAGATTGCAGCTGTTTCAGCACCATAAACTGCAGGTGGCTACTGGACAGCTCCCTGGTTTTGGACTGAGATCCACACTACTCATTTTACCCCCGCAGGTTCTGAAACTGTAACATAGCCTTGAATTAACTTTGTTTTAATAAGTCATCAGAAGTGGTCCATGTGGCGTATAGGCACTTCTCACAAGCCCTTGTAGGAAATAGCATCAGTCCTTGAAAGTGGTAACTCCTCAGGATTGAACCGGGCTTACAAAACTTCTTTTTATAAGAAGTACACAGTACATACTATGCATAAAACTGTTTTTGTTTCCTGTGTAAAAGTTTAAATCCAGGGAAAAAAAATGACCCTCTGCAATATCTTTCAGTTATAGTATACAGTATAACTCTTAATACAGCCAGGATTAAAAGTGTCTGCTTTACTCTCCGAGTAAACTGGTGTAGGCTATTTCATGTTGTCCTGTATCAGCAGTTCTGTAGTGCATTCTTGCATCCACATGTATATCTGTGTTATGTGTAACCCTAACATCAACCTGTATAGAAATGGTAATAAAAACAGGCAACATGAATAATAAAGGAATAAGGTATCGTCTCAACCTTACTTTTCATGTGGTTTGTTACACAGTAGGGAAGCCAAAACAATGGATATTCTTCTTCTTGCTTTTCCTAGGATATTGGCATCAACATGCTAGTAGCTGTAATTACTTTATGCTTAAAGTCTCCGTATTCATGAAATCTATCTGACTTCTTATCTGCTGTCATACACTGTAAGATTTACAATGGCTGAGAGAACCCATGGGTGTACTCAGAGCACAGATTTTATACAGCTGCTTGCACAAAATTCCCTATATGATCATGGTTGTTATTAAAATTTTCAACTGGAAGCCTTAATGGAGAGAGAGAGATGACATTATGGTAAAGGGATTCCTTACAGTGTGACACAGGTACCAGCTTGGTAGCACAATCGCTGAGGCACAGATTGCCAAGGCGTTCCATCATTACTCAAGCAGTGAAGACATAGACTAATATCCAGGAGTTAACCGCCTGATCCCCTCCACACCCTTCTCTGTCACACTGCCGCAGTACTGTGTGAATTCCCTGTGCTGTTCGTTCAGTTTTAAATATGCGGCAGAGAAGGTTCAAATCTTTTCCTTTCCGCTAGACAATTGCCATCTGCAGGTTATTACCTAAAGTTGCCTGCTGTTCAAGCACACTTCATTCACCCCTGCCGCTCCTCCTGAGCTGCCCCCCATGCGTCTCCACATTGCTTTTTTGCTGGAGTGAAAATAGGCTCTCGTCTTTAAGAAACCCAACAAAGGAACAGTGTCAGACAGAGATTCTCACTCCAGCCTGTATGCCTTTCAGCTCTGCAGTATTTTCTATTCCAACTTGTATCTTTGGGTGTTTTATCTGAACTGCCGAATATGATTCTTTGTACTCCTCTTTATAAATACCATAACCATAAGTGGAGATCACTGTTGGGGAAAAAATCTGCACATACTGTATGTATGGCTGTGTGAGGCCTGTCGAGAGTGTTGTAGCTTTTACATGTATCAATTAGGCTGCTGGTGTCAATGAAACAGCCCTCCTTCTGATCAAAAACAGCACTTGCTTGCCTGACGCACTCCAGAGCACTGGGGCATACTAACAAAGCTTTTTTTATATTCTAACTGGATTTCAACTCGATTGATGCAAGATTTCTCTTTTCTGTGTGTAGTCTCCTGCTAGATTTGTAACTTCTTATGGATTTTTATAAAGGCTAGAAAAAGTACATTTTGTTCTGGAGCCAGAAGCTTTGCTCTGTAAGCACTCTGTTTATTGAGCCAACAGCATCCACCTGGTCTATATCTGTGCTGTGATTTGTCTTCTGTCTATTTTTAGAGCTGGTGGGTTAAAAATAGACTCGCTGCCACAAAGGCGCTGCTATGAAATCTTGGATTCCTCACATCCCTCATTCCACTACCAAGTACCGGAATCCTCTTTTCTCCAGAGTCTGCCTTGTACTGTGCCATTCTCTAGCTCCTGTTTCACTGCAGCGTGTAACTGTATCCGACGCTTTAATGACAGGAAGATGGGAAAATGTGCAAATGTGGAAATGGTTATTTTTATACACTGCAGCTCAATGAACCCAATCCACAAGGTGCAATTGCTCCATCACATGCCAAGGTTTAAATGCTGAGATTAAGTGTTTTGCTGGACAAGATCTCTTTTGCTCTCAGCCAGCTCTAAACTGTCTCACATATGCTGTTATATAAAATTGAAATAATGAGAGAGATGTGTACAATATCAGTTTATTTGTATACGCATACTGCCAACCACAATTTTAGAGAATGGCATTTACCATATGATAACCCATCCTATCCAAAGTAGTAAAAAAAGGCCTAGAGTATGTTACATCCTGTGATTCCAAAGGACTGTAAAGTAGTAGCAGATTACACCTAGTGTGCTGTAGGGGACTGATTGTTGCTGCACATGCCTCTAGTGCTTTGCTGAAGGCAAAAGCAGAACTGGCAAATGTGTCAATTCAGACAGCCTCAAGGGTTTACAGAAAGCCCTTGGTGGATAGGAAAAAGCACCCTCAAGAAGCACGATTTAGATCATAAGAAGTTTACTCATCTTTTTTGAGGCAGTGAAGCCTCAACTAATGTTGAAGGAGTCCTTATGTCTCCATAAACATACAGTATGTGAGCATGTACTGTAGTCGATTGCTGTAACACATCACAGCTGAAATCACTTTAGGGAGAGGACTAATCTGCTGCTTGGGGTATTACCTAATTTTTAGGAAAGTCTGCATAGAATTGATTCAGACACCTAAGTGTTCACGGATGAAAGATTTTAATTTATTTA